CTAGCCTCGTCACTACTTCGCTGGGGTTAGGCCAGACATTTATCAGTACATGGGGTCGGTTGTGCTGATACTACACTCTGCACTGTGTGCAGATCCCGGAGCAGTAACTTTTGGACCATAGATTTGGGTGACTGCATTCAGTCCAGTCGGAGATTTCGAGGCAGGTCATGTAGGCTTCCGCAAGCCCCGACGTTCTCTTCCATCTTTATATTTTGTTTTCATTTACTTCAAATACAGATTGTATCTTTCTTTCCAGACAATTATTTGTAGTATTCGTAATGGTCCGTGATATTGTGACACCAGTTCCGGGTAGAGATGTACTCAGTATTGTCGTACTTGTTTTTGGCTAAGTTATCAGATTACGTCTTCCGCATGTCTTTAATTATTGTTAATATTTCACTGTTGATTGTATGTTGTTTTAAACTGTTAAAAGGCCTAGCTTTTACGAATAAGCGCCATCGCGACTCCCGAGAGTGGAAAATCTGGGTCGTGACAATGGCGTGAAACATGGGATTACAGCTGGACAGATTATTGTATTCGACTGTATTCACGGAGTGAAATAGGGGATTATACTATTTTTAAAGGGAAAGTGAATCAATTAACATAATAGACTCCTAATATAACTCAACAAACTCAATTATATCACACAAATTTTGTATTTCCAATTATAAAAAGACTCAACCGAAAAATACCGCAAAAACATAACAATCTTCAGAGAAATTATATAATACATCTGAATACATAAATTATATTAATTAAAAAAACATATGAATACATTCATGTCATATGGGGAGACAGTGAATACAATGAAATACATAGAATACAACGGGATACATTGAAATACAATGAAAAAAAGACAGTGAATACAATGAAATACATAGAATACAACGAGATACATTGAATTACAATGAAAAAAAGACAATGAGTACAATGAAATACATGAGTGTTCATCAACTTGATACCATTGTGGAACGACGAACTGCTACAGAGCCTATTATATATTCCTATGACATAGAAATTGGAAATAAAGTGAAAAATTGGAAGTCGTTGGATTTCAAACAAGCTAATCTGAATATGATTCTTTGTGGTGCATTACTAATTGAAGCAAAGAGAGAAATTTGAACTGAATAAACTGGAGTTGCAGGTTTATGGAGCCACTAATCTCAAGAGTTTCGATGATAGTTATTGAAGGAAACCATATGGTTATTGAAGGAAACCATGAGATTGAGCCTCAAGTGGCAGGCCTCACATTCCAGTCGTACTTGACAAGATTTGTTGTTTCTTCAAAGGAATCTGGCTCTAACAGTAACTCATGTTTTCAGGGAATGGGGGAAGAGAATGACATGTATCAAAGTAGAGAGAAAAAGAAAATAATGTAACTGAATAGCGTATTTAGTGGCTTAGTGGTAAGAGGTAACCAAAATTAGATATTTTGTTATAAGCATTAAAATGTATCTATAGAATATAATTTTTTAAAATGATATTTATTTAAAATAAATAAGGTGTTAACCTTCGCTATATGAGGTAAAAATTTCTATAATAAAACCAGTACCCTGCCTGGTTTAGGGGAGAAATTCAAAAATAGCCAGATTTACAACTAGTCGTTCAAAAATAGCCCAATTTCAAAAGTAATCGAAATTTAGCCACTTTTCATGTAAAGATAAATCTGAGCGAAAATACTGTTCAAAATCCGGAAAATACGTTAGTATATTACATTGGAGTTCCAGCATAAGTATGCTTGAACTCCAGCATATTATACTGGAGCTCCAGGATTAGTATGCTGGAACTCCAGCATAATATGATGGAGTTCCTGCATAAGTACACTACAATTCTAGCATAATATATTGGAGTTCCAGCAAGTATAATTGTCCAGTATAATATACTGGAGTTTGGAGCACCGGTGCTCCAGTCTCCAGTATATTATACTGGAGTCAACAAAGCATACCGGTCCAGCATAATATGCTGGAGTTCATACACAGGTGCACCGAACTCCAGTATATTATGCTGGACCGGTCTTTGTTGCAGCAAAATAATGACTATTTTTTATTGATTTCGTAAACGCTGGCTATTTTTGGATGATCAATCCGAAAACTGGCTACACCGTACTATTTTTACCTGGTTTTGTAACCGGCCAGTTACTTTTATTCTCGACCCGGCCCGTCCCACTCCCAGCCCACCCGTTAAACATCTTTAATTCTTCCAAGGTGCCACACTTTTTGCATCCGCCCCCTTTTGTCGGCCACGACAAGAGCAAAAGAACTTGGAAATTGGACATTGTAACCCTCACTAATTTTAGCCCTGAAAGGAAGAATGAGAAGGCATCAGAGAGAAAAATGGGATTTTCAGTAAAGGGTGGTTGCCCTCTCTCTGGTTTATGTCCATGATTTCTCCATTCCTGAAAAACCAACAACCCTTTGAAAAAAAAAAGAACAAGAAAAGGATAATATACAACAGCTGATTTGCACACATAGCCATTCTCGTCAACAGAAAAGTTTTCTCCGTCAATTTGGTTCTTGACTCTATATAATCAGCCAAAACCTCTTGAATCTCTAGAAAATAGGAGCTATTATGCTCTTCCTTTTTCTGCTTCTGCTGATTTTGCACAAGTACCCGCTTTTATGTCCCTTTGTATTTACAAGGTGACAACTGATTTGCACAAATAGGATACTGAAATGGGCTGTGATGATGATTTGCTTCTTTCTTTCTGGGCTATATCTACTTTACGATCGTTGAGAAAAATCCGACCCGTATCTTGGCGGGGCGACCCGTGCATGGCAATAATTTGCAAACCGGTGTCTTGCAGCCATGGCGTGTGTCTGCTTTCTCTTTGCATGTTCATGGGATATACAGCAAAATCTGAGCCCTAGATACCCATTTTGGGTTCTTTTTTTTTTTTTTTTTTTTTGCAGATGCAGTTTCCCATCAATTTTTTAGCTCAAAAGTTGAGGCACTTGGAGAAAAAGGATTTTTAGCTCAAAAAATTAGGCAATTGGAGAAAAAATAAACTTTTTGGCTAAAAGATTGAGGCAATTGGAGAAAATGGGATTTTTAGCGCAAAAAATGAGGTAATTGGAGGCAAAAATGAGTTTTTTAGCTTAAAAATGAGGTAATTGAAGAAAAAATGGGGGTTTTTTAGCTCAAAAAATGAGGGAACATCTCCAGCATGCCTATGATTGCTAGTTACTATCAGCTCTAACCAACAGCCCTTTTTGAATGGGAAAAAATTCCAAATTTACCCCTCAACTAGCAAAATGTTCTACTTTGAGAAAATCTGACCCGTATCTTGGCAGGGCAAGCCGTGTGTGGTAATAATTTGCAAACCGGTGTCTGCAGCCATGGCGTGTGTCTGCGTTCTCTTTGCATGTTCATACCGGGAGAAATTCAAAAAAAGCCAGATTTACAGGTGGTAATCGAAAAATGGCCAAAGCATCTCCAGTATATTATGCTGCAACTTTTCATGTGCCGGAGTTCCAGTATAATATGCTGTAAGTTCATACACAGGCGATCCAATCTCCAGTATATTATATTGGAACTTTCCGTGTGTTGCAGCAAAATAGGCGATCCAATCTCCAGTATATTATATTGGAACTTTCCGTGTGTTGCAGCAAAATGATGGTTATTTTTCAAAGACCGTACAAACGCAGGCTATTTTTCAATTACTAATTCGAAAATTGGCTAGCCCGTGCTATTTTATACCGAGCAAAATCTGAGCCCTAAATCTTTTAGCTCAAAGAATGAGGCAATCGAAGAAAAATGGGATTTTTCTAGGTACTTGACAATTTCTGCCATGCCTACGATTTCTAATTTGCTCTAATCAACAGCAATATTTGCATGTGTGTGTATTGTATGTCTCTTTTTGTCTCTCTGTCTGTGACTACTTTGCTCCTGCGTTTTAGGCAAAGCATAGATAAGAGAGGGACTTTCCAAGATTCGAACACAGGACCTCTTGTTTGGTGAAACCTATGTCATTTTCTTCTTAGCATCGCTCAAAAAATGAGGTATCAGAGAGAATTGTGGTATATGCATTTAAAAATTGGATCTTTTTTGTATAGCCGTGTTGTTGTTGTTGCTGCTGGAATTGCTTCTGTTTGTGCTATTTGTTGTTATTGCTGTTGTTGGGCTGTTTTATGAACCAAACAGCAAGGGATCAATGTAACAAAAGGGAGAAGTTAAGGCTGTGATGGTAATGCTAAGGAGGTCTTCCCTTGTCCTAAGTATGGTTTTCTGATATACTCACGAACAATGTTTTAAAAGGCGGGGGCGAGGCGAGGCGAGGCGAGACGTTTTACCTCTAACGAGGCAAGGCGTAAGCCCTAAGACATAGGGCGTAAGTCCCACAGATCTTTAAATTTTACTAATTTCAAGAATTTTAAGATAGTATAAAATAAAGAATAATTATAAAAATTACATTAACATCAAAAAATTGAAACAAATAATCTATTTAAAATATATATAAATTATAATTCAACTATGAATAATACAAAACGTATGACATATATCATAATATGCAAATTATACGTCGTTACATTCAAACATCAAAAGTAATGTATTCGATAGAATTTCGATATTATAACTTGATATTTTTCTTAAAATACTCCTTTTATTTAATATGCTTTCTATTTGAAAGATAATTTATATAGAAACATAATTCACAATTTAAATATGATTCTCTAGCATAATTTATTTTTAAGTTTCAATAATTTAATAAAGTGACACATAATTCACCATACAATACCATGATAACTAATTATTTGTAAGTAGTTACTAGCTAATACTGAGCTAATAAATTAATAACTATTGTATCTCGTAAACGTGAAAAAATAATATTTAAAAAAATAATTATAAAAAAAATATGGACTATTATATAGTAAAGACATAACAAAAGTTAATAAATAAATACTTTTTAAATGAAAGATTTATTTAAAATTAACTATCATAGCAGTCTTAGTGGTTAACGTGCAATAATTTTTATTTTAATTATGACATAAAATACTCTTCGCTTAATGATTTATGATTAAGAAAAAAAGTAATTTTGAACAGTTAACGATTTATTAAGAAAATTTGAGGATTTATTAGTTACATACAATTGCATAAAGTTCAATTAGGCGAGCCCAGTACGCTGGGCGTTGGGCGTGTGTAAGCCCCGATGGCCGAGGCGTAAGTCTCACGAAATTAAGCCCCTCACATAAGCCCTGAGGCGTTTTACGAGTGCTCCGCCTCGGGGCGAGCCCTGGGCGAGTCCCAATTCTGCCTTTTAAAACAGAGCTCACGAAAATGCCTCGATTGAAACATCATGGCATGGTAACCTGGAGAGGTTGCAGCCATGGAGGGGTAACCTTGAGAGATTGTAGGGTACATGATGCGCATCTATATATGTTTTTTATTGGAAAATAGCGAAGTCGAGTCTGTACTGGGGCATGGTACTATTCTTCCACTAGACCACTTGTTCTTCTTAACATGATGAACATGTATATTGTCCGGAAACTAGGGGTATCAATGGTTCGGTTCGGCCAGTTATTTTACAATGAGTTCCATATTTTTGGGAGGTTCAAAAGGTTTAGAGAGCTATAACATGAACCAGAAGGTCAAATGAAAATGGCAAAACTTTCATTAGTTCAAGTCTGAGGCTGCTGGGTTCAGAGAGTTGTGGGGAGCTGTTTGAGTGGTTGCCCTTCTCTGTCATTCCTAGCAGCCAATGATCACTCAATATTTCCCAATTTCAGACCACCCTTTAGCAAAATAAGTTCGACGAGCCGGTGAAGATTTTCACTCTTTACTCATCAGATGGTTGAGCTTTGCTCTATCTTGGCGTGGCGCTTTTGGTTGGTCTTGTGAGATATGGGAGCTATTTGGTTTTCGTGTCTCACAAAGGATTCTCATTAAGCTTGCAGCCATGGCGGAGTTTAGCTTATGCCTGAGAAGAGGCTAATCTTAGCCTCCCAAGTATCTGTATGTTTTCAAAGGAGGCTTTTATGGAAGTCGAGAAAGGTTGAGATTTTCTAAGGGTGGTTAGTCTTTTCCTCTGAAGTTCAGTATAGCCGATGAATTTTCCAGTACTATTGTTACAAAGATAAAGATTAACAGCCCTATCATCAGCTAATGCCAATTATGCTCTTGATGATGATGACGACGACGATAACCATGGTTATGGCAAGCAAACAACAAACAACAAACAACAACAAACCCAGTGTAATCCCACATCCCACATGTGGTGTCTTGGGAGGAGGGTATACGCAGACCTTACCCCTAGAAGGTAGATAGGCATGGTTATTGCAATAAGGAAAATACAGATTCTGCCCCCTAAACTTGTCCCGGAGAACCTGAATCCTTAACCCTGAACTTTGTGAATGAGGCTATGATGATATTCTCCCGGAAGCTTGAAAAACAGATTTTTGAGCTGATTCGTATCTTGGCTAGGCAAAGGCAGGGAATTTGTGAGGTAGGTTCTTATGTGCTTCTCACGAAGGCATCTGCTTTTTGCAGCCTTCTTTTCTGATAGCAGTACTAAGTATGCCTTGCGTTCCAATTTATGTGAACTAAAAATGTCCAAATTGCTATTGAAAAGTTTCCATCTTTCCAAAGAGGCAGTGTTATTATTGTTATCCTGAGCTGAAATTGGAGGCATGGAGAAAACCGACTCATATCTTGGCAGGGCAAACTGGGATCATGCAACTGATTCATTTTGCAGCCATGGCATTGTCGTCTTCTCTTTGCCCCATTTTACACAGATCTGAGCCTCAACCCTCAGTAGGAAGAATGAGGCATCAAAGAGAGAAATGGGATTTTCAGTAAAGGGTGGTTGCCCCCTCCCTGCCGTTTCCCTGATTTCTTCATTCAATAAAGCAACAACCCTTGGGAAAAATAGAAAAGAAAAGTAAAATGTTTCTGCTTCTTCTGCTACAACAGCTGATTGCACAAATAGCCGATTTTATGACCCCTTACATTTCGAAGGTGACAACTGATTTGCACAAATAGGATCACTGAAATGGACTATGATGATCATTTGCTTCTTCCTGGGTTATCTACTTTTACATATGTTGAGAAAGATCTAACCCGTATCTTGGCAGGGCAACCCGTGTATGGCAATCATTTGCAAACCGGTGTCTGCAGCCACAGCCACAGTGTGGTCCCTTTCTCTTTGCATGTTCATAGAATTACAGCAAAATATGAGCCCTAAAGGCCCAATTGGGTTCTTCCCTTTTTTCTTGAACACCCCATTTCAGATGCAGTTCAAAAAACGAGGCAATTGGAGAAAAAAGGGGATTTTTAAGGGTGTTTGACCATCTCCATCATGCCTATGATTTCTTTTTTACTTTAAGCTCTAACCAACAGCCCTTTTTGTATGTGAAAGAGGTCCATATTCGCACCTGTACTACATGAAATGGTCTACTTTTGCGCTCCTCACTTAATAGTCGAGGGCTAATTTTGCACTTGTGTACTTTTTCTTCTCAGGTATCAATACATGATTTCAATCCAAAAAAGCACTTTGCTTGCTCAGTGAATGTAGTTGATAGATAGACATATAAATAGAAAAAAATGAGGCTCTGATCATAAAGATAGTGCTTTTATCCATACATATCATGAGAAAATGTCCAAATTGATCCTTTATGAGGCAGTGATGATCTTTCAATCTATCCTCCTGATTTAGTAATTGATCATAGACAGTACCTGAACCGTATCTTGGCGGGGCAATGTCCCAGATGCATGTGATAAATTGTAACATGCAACTGAGGGTATTTGCAGCCATGGCGTGGCCGGACTTTCTTAGCTTGAGCATAAATATAGCTCTGAGCCTCAGTTATTCAAAAAAATTAGAGCACTATAAGATGAAGCAGAGGGTGAAAAAAGAATGGCAAAAATCTCATTAGTTTAAGTCTGAGGCTGCTGGATTCAGAGAGTTGTGGGGAGTTCTTTGAGTGGTTGCCCCTCTTTGTTATTCTTAGCAGATCACTGAAAGTTTCCCAATTTCAGAACACTCTTTAGTGAAGAAGTTCAAATAAGGCAGTGAAGATTTTCATTCTTTACTCATCAGATGGTTGAGCTTTGCTATTTCTTGGCGTGGCAGCTTTTGGGGGTCTTGTGAGATATAGGAGCTATTTTGGTTTCCGTGTCTCACAAAGGCTTCTTAAGCTTGCAGCCATGGCGGGGTTTAGCTTATGACTGAGAAAAGGCGAATCTGAGCCCCTCCCAAATGTCTGTTTGTGTTCAACGAATGAGGCTTTTTATGGAACTCAGAGAAAGGTTGAGATTTTCCAAGGGTGGTTACTCTCTTCCTCTGAAGTTCAGTATATCCAATGAATTATCCTATACTTTTGTTACGAAGAGAGATCAACAGCCATTTCATCAGCAGAATGGCGATTATGATGACGACGATACCCATGGTTATGGTAATAATAAGGGAAAATACATATTTTGCTTCCTACACTTGTTCGGAAAAACCCAAATCCCCAAATCCTAAACCCTGAACTTTGTGAATGAGGCTATGGTGATATTCCAGGAAGCTTGAAAGTCAAAGTTTATAGCTGATTCATATCTTGGCTAGGCAAAGGCAGCAGTATCTGTGAGGTGGGTTCTCACGTGCTCTCTCACAAAGGCGTATGCTTTTTTCAGTCATGGTGGATTAGCCTTTTTTTTCCTTCTGGTAGATCGAATCGGAGCCTCTTTTCTGTGCTATGTTTGTTCTACAATGGGTGGTCTGTTTCTTTTGTTCTTTTATGCTCATGTTGTATAATATTGGTCTGAGATGCCGTCTAAGTGGAGTGACATGATCTATGAACGGAATGACATGTTCAGTGAGGATTCATATAGTTGATTCATATAGTTGATCCCAGCTTGTCTGGGATTGAGAGGTTGTTGCCGTGGTCCTTTCATATTCATGTTCGTTGCTGCTTTCGCAAAATATCAGGAACAATCCCAGTTTCAAATAAAAACTGTTATGTGTTTCTCTGTACAGTTTCGAAGAGTGAAATTATTAGGTACTGATGTGAAACAAGTCCAAAGGGAATGGAAGTGAAGTTATGAATTCATAACTGTCTTTAACCAGTTTGATATTGAAGCTAGTTGCTGATTTTATCTACACAAATTTTCAAACTTTCATGCCTTATTTCAATCTTGAAAATCCCAAGTTTTAGAGGCAGTGAAGATTATGTATAATGAAAATGAAAAGTGAAAAATATTAGAGTTGATTCCTGGCCTGGTGTGGCAAGAACAGTCGGAAGGTCTTTCTTTTCTTATAAGGCAACTGATAGTTGCAGCCATGGAAATGTTAACTTTGCTATTTCCTTTGATTAAATAGGCTAAAATCTGAGTCGTATCCTCCACTTGGTTTATTTATATTTTCTTTTTTGACAAGTCTTTCTGGAGATAATTCTAGACTAGAAAATATTTTCGTGGTCTTTGGTCTATTATTTTGAATTCAGGTGCTTCTTTATCCTGAGTGGTTACTGGTTAGTAAAAGATTGGAGGGAGTTATGGTTTCTCAAATTGACCAGGATTTGTTTTCGTGCAGTGCTAAATTGCAACTTGCTCAGTGTTTTTCGTTTCTAATTTCATTTTCTTTTGGTAATTTTTATCCCAGTTAAAACAGTATGTTCTTGGGGCCCTGCTTTACCAGGCTGGGGCAACTGTTTACCAAAAACACCGGTCTCCGCAAAGTCGTGAATAAAGGGAATATCTTATCGAGGTAATCATATTTCTTTAAGTAAATATGCTCAATACAAGTTTAAGCTAATGCTCCTTAATTTGTCTTTTTTCTAAATCAAGTGTATGTATGCTCCTTAATTTCTCTTGAACTCTTAGATGAGATTGTTCACCAATTTAAGAACGAAACTTATGCAGCTGCTGGCTTAACCTGTGTAAAGTCGAATTCCAACTCCATAAAGATAATTTCAAGCAGTTCAATGATCATTTAGGAACTAAGATTCTGTTTGTGGTGATCTTTCATGCCTAGTCAAAACTTAGATTTAGATTCAGCACAGAACTATTGTCTCATATTGTTATTGAAGAGCCAAATATAAAGTGGTCATGGAGCTGACCTTTCTAAGATTCTGATAATTTGAGATGCACTATGACACCAACTAAGAATAACAGCATTTTCCACTATGAGTGACTCGTTTGGAAAGACTTAATGCAAACTCATGAGTATAAAGGCTATTTTTGGAGTCCCTCGGTTGCATAAATACTTTTGAACTTTCTCTTTCATTTTCATTCTCTTTTCCCAACCCCTCCCTCGTTAGAAGCTGGTAGTTGTTTTCTTCTTTGGTGATGCATGGCCCTGGCTTTTCCGGGAACTTTTCTATTAAACCGGAAGTCGAGTAGATTGAAACTAGTTAAAAACACAAAACACCGTTCACTGTTTGGATCTGGACTCCAAAATCAGCTTCATTAGTCCTTTAAGTATTTGTCTGCTATCTTTTGTACGTACATACATGATACATGTATATTTTTTTTTTTGGTGTGTGTGTGTTTGTTTGATTTTCTTGAAGAATTTTGAATTACTTTGGCTTGTATTTTTTTTTTGTCCAAATTAGTGAATTATAAATTGACTTTTAGTTCTACATAATAACGAAGTAAGGGGTCGTTTGGGTTAGAAAGTAGTGCAGGGGTTATTTATTGAATTATTGTTGGATATTTTGATTGATATATTTCAAATTAGTATACAGATAGGTGAAAAATTATGGTAAACCTACTTTCTCAATTCCTTCAGCCCTAAGCGACTGAGGTATCCTTAATACATTGGGCAAAGGTGGAAAAACCAAGACCAACTAGCGCTCAAGTTAATAGCATTGTACGAGTCTTCCACACAAGATGTGTAGGTTTGATTGTTTATTGTTTCTTTGGTTCTCCATTCTCAAAAAAATTGAAACAATACTATCTCAATTTTTTAAAAATATGTGATGATTTTTATAATATTTTTACATGGTTTTTATATACTCCCTCCGTTTCAATTTATGTGAACCCATTTGACTGGGCACGGAATTTAAGAAAAGAGAGAAGACTTTGGATCTTGTGGTGTAAAATGAGGCACATATATTTTGTGTGGCTATAAAACATTGTGTAAAGGTAATTTGTTTCCAAATAAGGAAAGGGATCATTCTTTTTGGCACGGACTAAAAAGGAAATAGGTTCACATAAATTGAAACGGAGGGAGTATATGTTTGTTGAATTTTATAGATTGTGTAACAGAATCCTCGTAGTTACCAAAAAAAGAAGAATGAGACGCCAGAGAGAGATGGGATTTTCTGTAGGGTGGTCCCCTCTCTGCTATGTTTTCTCCATCCGTGAAACAAACCTTTGGGAGAAAGAAAAACAAGAAAAGGAAAATGATAAGCCTCAACAACACCCCTTCAGTATTTACCTCTGTGAAAAAACTGCTACACTCGTTCTTTCTCTGCTTCTGCTGCTACCACTGCTATCTATGATAACAGCAGCCCTAGAACTTTATACCTGGTGTCATTTCTACATTGATCTTCGCAGATCACCTGAAAATGGGCTGTGATGATGATTGCTTCTTTCTAAGCTATCTAGTTTATTGCTTTGAGAAAATCCGACCCATATCTTGGCGGGGTGATCTGGTATGGCATCATATGCAAACCGGTGTCTGCAGCCATGGTGTGTGTCACTTTCTCTCTGCATGTTCATATACAGCAAAATCTGAGCCCTGTAAATTCTCTCTGATAGATCAGAGTGTTTTACTTCACAAAAATGGAGGTTGAGCTATGAGGAATGAGGTCAACAGAGAGAAAAGGGATTTTCTCAAATGTTTGGAAGACACTAATCACTGAGCCGTACTTTAAGATGCCAAGAATAGCCAAAATTCCCAAAAAATTCTTGTTAGCCAATGGTACCCTTCTATCGATGAGTTTTCCTTCTATTGTTCTTCTTTATCGCCGGTTCGACTTGTTGAGGATGTACAAAAATTTGATTGGCCTTCAAATGGTAAACCATTGAGTTTCAGAATCTATTGATGTTGTAATGGCTTGTCTCTTATTGGGGTTCATAATTTTACTATAAACACCTCATACTTTTGCTATGGGAACCCCTCCACAAGGAATCAATAGTAGTTCCCCATCCAAAATTTTCATCGGAGTAATTTTGTACTTGTGGATTGCGATATGACTCAACCAGTGATGACTATAAGATCAACCGCACAGCACACACTGAAATTCTCGTGCTGAAAAGTGGTTCCTGGAGAAAAATTCATAAACATCCTACTGGCATTTACCATGTGTTGTCTTATATGGACTCTTTGGCATTTGTACATGGAGCAGTTCATTGTCTTGCTTTGTCACTGAATAATTCTGTGGTTTCATTTAGTATTTCAAATGAGGTGTACAAAGAGATAAAGAGGGATTGTGCATTTGTGCTTGATTTTAAACAAAGTGGCGTTTCGATTTTGGGAAGAATGTTGTGTGGTTATTCTACTTATACCCATCAGAGGAAGGACACTCTTTAAGTTATGGGTGATGAAAGATTATGGTGTCAGAAATCTTGGAATAATTTGTTTAATATAGGTCGGTCTTTTCTGCCATACAGAAACATAGATTTTGGATGTTGAAGTGCTACTCTGCTGCGAACTTTTGAAACATTTTGGTTCTGTATTGAGGACATCCATTATGGCCTCGATGTGTACCGTTCAGAATGGATTCGTTCATATAGAAAGCTTGATCTCTCCAAAATTAATTACTTAGTATTTACTTGTGTACGATCAAGACACTTTTTTGGGTAATAATGTTACAACCAATTTTTGGTTAAAAAAAAGAAAGAAAAGGAAATGGCACGAGCTAGCCACTTTCAATGGCGCTAATGCCACAACTGATATTGATTGATCTTCGCGGATCACCTGAAAAATGGGCTGCGATGATGATTGCTTCTTTCTAGGCTATCTAGTTTATTGCTTTGAGAAAATCCGACCAGTATCTTGGCGGGGCGACCTGGCATAGCATTATATGCAAACCGGTGTCTGCAGCCATGGCATGTGTTGTTTTCTCTTTGCATGTTCATACACAGTAAAATCCGAGCCCTATAAATTCGCTTTACAAAATCAGAGTGTTTTAACTCACGAAAATGGAGGTTGATCCCAGTACGAGGAATGAGGCCAATAGTGAGAAGGGAATTCTTGCCGGGTGGTTGCCCCCTTTACTTGGCCTATGATTTTCTCAATCTACTAAACCAACAACCCTCTTTAGAAGTACTACTACTACTACTAGTTTCTGAATCAGAAATTCTGATTTCTCTGAGCTTTGCCAAACATCCTCGAATCCTAGCTTTTGTTTGTCAAATATTGGCCAAACAGGCTCTATGGAAGGGTTACCATTTCTCAAAAGAGGCAGTGGTGATATTGCTAATCTGGGATGATATTCGGGGCATAGTAACAATTCGAACTATTTCTTGGCAGGGAAAACCGGGATGGTTTGTGATTGAGGCTTCTCTGTCACATGCAACCGGTTCTTTTGCAGCCATGGCGTAGTCACCTTCCCTTTGCCCCATTTTAAGCAAATCTGAGCCTTAATCGTTTCCCATATCTTACTTTGAGTGTATTTGATTTGGCAAAGCCCTCATATATTTTAGCTCAAAAAGGAAGGAGGAGGAATCAGAGAGAGAGAGAGAGGGGATTTCTTAAAAGGGTGGTTGCCCCTCTCTGCTATGTCCCATGATTTCTCCATTCATAAAACCAACAGCCCTTTGAGAAAAAAAGAACAAGGAAAGGAATATGATAAACCATTCCAACAACACCCCTTGAGTATGTACTTCTCTAAAAAGGGCTTTGCTCTTCTTTTCTCTGCTTCTGCTGATTTACACAAATATCCACTTTTATGGATTTGTATTTAGAATCCATGACTGATGCTGATCTTCATAGATCCAGAAAATTTCACCGGACGTCCCTTTTGAGAGAAGGGTTTTAATAATGATCCTATATGTGCAAATCTCCCTCGCAGGTCACCTGAAGTGGGTTATGACGATTGCTTCTTTCTGGGAGTCTTTTGCACAGCAGTGAGAATTGACCCAGAAGGAAGAATGAGGCCAACAGAGAGAAAATGGATTTCTTCGCCGGTGGTTGCCCTCTCTGGCTGGCCTATGATTTCCCCACCAACCAAACCAACAACCCTCTTCCTTTTTTTTTTCCAGTTGGTATATTTGTGACATTACATAGCTTTTTAAGCAAAAGAGAGAATTCTGAGGCTGTGATGATACTATCTTCTCTTCTTTCAAGAGCTAATCAATTGGTCAAGAGAAGTAAAGGGACCCGTATCTTGGCGGGGCAACCCGGATGGCAAGTGATCTTTGTGTCATGCAACCGGTGTTTGCAGTCATGGCGATGTCTTCATTCTCTTGTCCTATCAACAGATCTGAGCCTCCATTACTCTTATAGCTTGTTTGGATGGTTGTTACCCAGTGTATTGTATTGTTATTTTAGAAGGGCGACTTTGGTATGATGGAAAACATCAGTATTTGGTTACTAATGTACAACTCTGAGAAGAAGAAAGTTCGTCAGGTGAGCTGAGAATTTTCTGAAATAAAGGTTGGGCCGCAAAGAGAAATGAGGCTAACAGAGTGAAGGGATTTTCTGTTAAGGGTGGTTGCCCTTCTCTGTTGTGCCAATCATTTTCTGTAGCTACTAAACCAACAGCCCTTGTTCATGAAATGCAGAGAAACATCATATGCTTTTTCAGTGTACAGCTTAAGCCATGGACCTCTGTATATGTGTGTTTCTTTTTCCTCCTTTGGAATAATTTTACAAAAGAGGCAGTGATGATAATATTCTTTCACTTTCTGGGCTAAACAAATTGGACATTGTGGACAATCCGTATCTTGGCCCGGCAAATCCCTCGTTGTGCATGCAACTGGTGATTTTGCAGCCATGGCGTAGTTGCCTTCACTTTGTCCGAGCAAAATGCAGTATCTGAGCCTCAAATTTCTGGAAATCAAACTCAGGACGTCTGGTGCTTTGAAAAATGTGGTATGCGTGTAAAAGATAGATCTTTTGTATATACCCTTGTTGTTGTTGTTGTTGTTGCTTTGAGCCGAGGGTCTATTGGAAACATCTATGCAAATGTGATGCTGATAACATAAATACTATTCAATGTTCTGATATTTCTGAGCTAGCTTAGACCAAATGTTTTTGGTCCCAAACATCCACAGATCTGAAATTTCCACTTGTTTTAAGAAACTTTTTGAAGTTCTCCAAACAGGCTCTTATTGAAAAGTTCCCGTTTTTGGAAAGAGGCAGTGATGATATTGATCGTCTGGTCTGATATTCGGCGCATATTGATAATACAACCTGTATCTTGGCACGACAAACCTAGATGGTTTGTGATTAAGTCTTTTCTTTCACGTGCAACCGGTTCTTTTGCAGCCATGACGTCGTCGTCTTCTGTTTGCCCCATTCTTTTTGCTGATCTGAGCCTCAATTTCCAACTAGTCCCTCTGGACGTTCCGAGACGCAAATTCAGGACCTCTTTGGTGGAAACCCATGTCATTTTCTTCTTAATATCGTCTCATAGAATGAGGCATGTTGTTGTTGTTGCTGCTGCTGCTGCATTTTCTTCTGTTTCCTTTGTTCTTATCAACCAAACAACAAGAAATCAATTTAAGAACAGGGAGAGTTTAAGGCTGTGATTATAATGTTGCTTCGACCAATTTGGTTTGGGCATTGAGATGGTAAGAGCCATATCATGGTGGGGGGNCTGAGCCTTGTTATATTGAGAAAAAAAAAATCTGAGTTGTCCTTAATGTATCGGGATCTGATTATTTTGGTTCTTGATATATACGCCTTAACAGAAATGGTCCTTTATGTTTGAAAAGGGTGAACAGTTTTAGTCCAAAATCCTTAGACTGAAAGAAGACACCAAAGCACCTGTTAAGTGTCTTTTCTCCTATTCTTGCTGCCATTGGGCTGTTTTATGAACCAAACAGCAAGAGATCAATGTAAGAACAGGGAGAATTTATGCTGTGATTGTAATGCCTTTTTCTTTTTTGAGCAATTTGGGTTAGGCGTTGAGATGATAACAGCCATATCTTGGCGGGGTAACGTGGGAAACTTGCAGCAATGGCGGTTTCTGATTAAACCCAATACCTGATTCAATTGAAATCTGAGCCTCTTATGTACATGATGCTCATGTATATTGTCTTTGTACTACATACCTATATACATGCATGCAGGCATACATGCATTTATACATATCATGAGAAAATGTCCAAAATGGTCCCTTATTGAGGCAGTGATGATCTTTAAATCTATCCTTCCGAGCTAGTAGTTGGGCATTGAGAGTAACTGGCATGTATCTTGGCCGGGCAATGACCCAGATGCATGTATTTTCTTACATGCAACCTGGGGGTATTGCAGCCATGGCGTGGCTGGACTTTCTTTGCCTGCACATGACTAAGATCTGAGCCTCAGTTGTCCCCTATATCTGTATTTGACATGGAGGAAACTGTTTCAGCAAATAGATGAAGCAAAAGGTGAAACAAAAATGGCAAAAGTTTCATTAGTTTAAGTCTGAGGCTGCTGGATTTAGAGAGTTGCAGGGAGTTTTGTGAGTGGTTGCCCCTCTCTGTCATTTGTAGCACTCTGTCACTCGTAGCACCCAATGATCCACTCAAAATTTCCCAATTTCAAATCACTCTTTAGCAAAATAAGTTCACTTAGGCAGTGAAGATTTTCATTCTTTACTCATCAGATGGTTGACCTGAGCTTTGCTATATCTTGGGGTGGCATCTCTTTGGTGGTCTTGTGGATATGGAAGCTATTTTTTTGCTTCTGCGTCTTGCAAAGGCTTCTTAAGCTTGCAGCCACGGCGGGGTTTAGCTTATGTCTGAGAAAAGGCAAATCTGAGCCTCCCAAATATCTTTTTGTGTTCAAAGAATGAGGATTTTTATGGAACTCGGAGGAAGGTTGAGATTTTGTAAGGGTGGGTACTCTCTTTCTCTGAAGTTCAATTTAGCCAATGAATTTTCCTATACTTTAGTTATAAACAGAAAGTTTAACAGCCCTTCAAGAGAAAATACATATGTTGCCCCCTAAACTTGTCCAGAAAAACACGAATCCTAAACCCTAAAGATTGTGAATGAGGCTGTGATGATATTCTCCAGCAAGCTTTAAAACCAGATTGGCTGAGCCTTTTTCTTTCATTCTTTGAATGTTCATGTTCTTTCTTCTGCATATCAGGAAGAATCCTCATTTCAAAAGATATGAAATGAGTCCAGAGAGAAAGGAAGTGAATATTGAGGATTCATATACTGTCTTTAACCAGGGGTACTATTTGCTAGTTGTTGCTGCAGTTATCTACACAATATTCAAACTTTCATGCCTTTGTTTCAATCTTGAATACTTGAAGTTTCAGAGGCAGTGAAGATTATATACAATGAAATGAAAAGTGAAGAAGATTAGAGTTGATTCATGGCCTGGCTTGGTGAGTCCAATCGGAAGGTCTTTCTTATAAGGCAACCGTAGATTGTGGAGTCATGGCAGTATTACTCTGCTCTTTTTTCCTTTTCTTTTTTTGATTAAATAGGCGAAAATCTGAGCCTCATTATTAACGTAGTTTATGTACACTTTTTTACTAGTCTTTCTGGAAATAGATTTAGATTACCTTCATTGTGGAACCACTGAAGTCAACAGCTCCGGCTTCCAACTCTAAATCCTAAAGAGAAATAGGGTTTCTGGGTTGAGTACAAGCATTTGTTATATTGCCAGTTCGAGTGGCTCTCAACGATCTGGATAAGGATGAGTTTTCTCCTTCGGACTTAAAATTCAGTCTTGATTGGGTTGATGGAAATTGGATCTGCCCGCATGAAAAGGTAATAAATTTTACCTTCTCCAATTTGGTTGTGTTTATTTAAGGTCAATTTTGGCAAACTCTGAACTGCATCTTGGAATATCTTCAAACTGAATAATATCGCAGTACTACTTTATGATTAATATGTCTACGTTGTGCTTAAATTTTTGTTGCGTCTCTTATAATTGAACTGCTATCGCAAAACATGTTACAGAGTAAATTTATGCAGTTATTGATATCGTTTTGAATGCCTACTAATTTAATTATAGATGGAATGGCAGTTTATAGGCATCCACAAATACAAGAAGGAAAAACCAGCGTATGTTGGACATCCAAAAGGGGGTCGCACGCCATATGTTGCATTGCCTCAGCTTCACTACTTGCATGAGGCCTCAAAGATGCAATTCTCTGATTCTTGGCTACTGAAGTTCAGAGCTATTGCTTTGTTCTTGAATGCTATTTGCTATCAACTGCACCATAATCTTTCTTTTTCTCACCCAATAGTGTTGATTAATATGGATGATATGTCTGTTGACAAATTTTGTGCTAAATATTTTGCAATTGCTGCAGCATCCACTGGGTGATGATCATGAGGTCAACCATATACCGAAATATGGAATGTATTGTACAGCAAACTCTATCTGTGAATGATCTTTTGTCCCGCTGGAATGTCTTTCTCATGGGGCGACCGATAATTGCAGCCATGGCAGTGTAAACTCTCTTTCTTTCCTGCGATCAAATAGGCGAAAAATTGAAGCCTCATCTTCTACTTGGTTTATTTACAATCTTTTTGTCAGTCTTTCTGGAAATAGTTTTAGATTAGAAATATTTGAATTAGGCTGTACACGTGTGATCCGAAACATTTTGGAGCTAGATGTTAACTTGAGACCTATGTATGGTGCTCGAGTCTAGGAACATCTTTGCTCATATTAATCTGGATGTTATAGTGATTAACTTTCAAAAACAATTTTCTAAAACTAATTTGGTAAAATAACTTGTCTATCGGAAACAGCCTCTCTGCCCTATCAGGGTAGGGGTAAGGTCTGCGTACACATTACCCTCCCCAGACCCCACTTTGTGGGATTTTATTGGGTTGTTGTAATTTGGTAAAATAACTTGTCTATCGGAAACAGCCTCTCTGCCCTATCAGGGTAGGGGTAAGGTCTGCGTACACATTACCCTCCCCAGACCCCACTTTGTGGGATTTTATTGGGTTGTTGTAATTTGGTAAAATAACTTGCTCAAACTATTGTTTTTCTAGAGCAGCATAGTATGGCTTCTCCGTTGCCTAGTAGCTCGAATATACGTGTTCTTATATAAATGGTAGAATCTCAATTTGATGCAATTTACTGGCAGAATAGTAGCTTACATCTTGGAAAGAGGAATGTACTGGAAAATAAGATGGAGGAGAAGAAAACCTTGACCTTAACAAAAACTAATGGAAATCACTAAACTCATCGCTCAGGGGGTCCCTACAATTCAGTGGCTAAAACAATTTATCTTTGACACTAACATTCCCAACCCACTCAATATTCCCAATTCCATCCTCGTACCTTTTTGTTTCTGGCATATTTGGCTAGCTAGAAATGGAAAAGTTTTCTGTGCACATTCCACACCTCCCTCCTCATCCCCTATCCTCAATATGGCCGTAGAATACTACTACATTACTTCCCGCCCACCGTCCCCACATGGCCGTATACCTCTCCATATCAAATGGCATCCCCCTCATTCCACACCTTTTAAATAAAAACACTGATGGTTCGACTAGGTTGACTACAGGAAAGGACAGAGTTGGTGGGGGTAATACGTGACTCATCAGGTACCTGGCTTTTGGCTTTGCAGGACAATATCTAACTCATGGGAGCGTGGAATCTGAACTACTTGCGTTATATCATGGTTTACAATTGGCTTTTACTCATAGATACAAACCTCTCGAAGTGAATTTAGATGTCCATGCAATCATAACTATTTCACAGACATCACATCCTTTGTATTCTAATCTCACAAATGATTGCAGGTTCCTGCTCGCGCACTTGGATGATCCAGTTGTACTTTACACCTACAGAGAACAAAATCAAGTTCTGACTTTTGAAAGACCTTTATGTGCTACCCAAGGTATGGGCACTAATAGCAGTAGTTTCTCCAAAGACCCCCTTTTGTCACGACCTATCTTGAGGTCGCCCCCTTAGGCAATGCGTAGGGTCTGCCCTACTTATGGTACTACACTTTAATATAATATAACTAGTTATACTTTGCATAAAAAAAAAAAAGAACTAATGGCAGAGGCCGTCTAAAAAAAGGAATCAATGAATCAACTGCAACTCAATTTCAATCTTGTTAGGGTCTGTTGTATATGTTATTTAAATTTGTTCCACTCTAATTGAGCCTATATTATTAGGACATTTTAAATTAAAAAAAATTAACTTGAGAGGAACTTTTTTCATTTCTTGATTCGAGGCTCGTTCTTCATTCGGGGACATCACGTCCAAAGGCGTGGACTATTAGTCAATAAAATTGGAATAAAGATGTTGGGAGATCATATTTCAAATTGCAGCATAAGCCAAAAGAATAAGTGGAGTAACTTATCAGTCTAAATTTTATTGGACAAAGTTGTGCAGTATTCGTGGTGGGTGATAGCTGCGATCTATGTTCCTAAAAAAAAAATAATCATGTGAACGAAGTAGAAGGTAATTACAGCTAAATATCTTAAAATATTAATAGACAATTTAAACGTATACTGTGAGTAACATAGTATCACATGTTAAAACTCATTGAATAAAATAAAATAATCTTACATTAATAGTATACATATAACTTGAATCATTACGGAATTAGTAAATATCCTTTACACTGTCGTGAAGCTTAAACTTAAAAAGAAAAGAAAAGAAATTGGCTACTCCTTGTTCTTCGATTTAGATGACACACTTTCTTTATTAGTCCGTTCAGAAAAATGACACATTTCTATATTTTGAAACAATTTAACTTTGAACTTTTTATTTTACTCTTAACGAGAAGTTTTTATAGCCACACAAATGTTATGGCCCAAAAGTGTTTGCTCTTTAAGCTTTAAGGACCATATGTTTTAAAAAAAAATTCTCTTAAACTTTGTGTCAAGTCAAACTACATCATCTAAATTAAAACGAATGGAGTAGATGTATGATAATATTAGGGTCAAATATATCCTCGTATTAGTGATAATAGTTTAAATGTACTCTTCGTTATACTATCGGGTCATTTCGGACCCTACCGTTATACTATGAAATAAATATACCCTCATTTTGGACGGAATCCCACGTGGCAGCACATGATTAAATCAACCCATTTCCCCCTTTTTAAAAACCCGATTCACTTTTAAAAAAACACTATCCGACCCAAACTCCACCCCCTTACAGATCGAACCATTTCCAACATACAGGCCCACATAAGCACTTTAGACGATACAACATCCAAACCTTCTTTCTAGGTGCAAATTTGCAGATCCAAAGAAATAATCCCTTTTTTTAGTGACAAGAGGAAGCGCAATTATTTTAGTTGCTATCAAGTCAAACTTCCATATCATTCTCCCGTAGGAAACAAATGATTCAACTGATCAAAATAATTCACAAACAGGAGGGCAAAAATGATGAATTTATGAAAAAATCTGATCTCATTCGAGAATAAAATTTAATAAATTTGATTGTAAAATTCCATGATACAAATCTGCAAGTATATGTTGAAAAACTTTCTTGTCAAACAAACTTTTGAAATCTTCTCAAAAGCCAAAGGTCTCCCACTGTACTTCTTCAATTTGTTACCACCATGAGCAAGTTGAGTCGAATGTGCTGTTGTTATTGCAATAAAAGTCGCCTGAGGGGCTGCTACGAAGGCGTTAGACACCGGACCAGCGGTCAGAGAGAAAAAATGATGCACAAAGGTCACCGAAAAATTCTTCGGCAAGATTCCGACCATACTCCATGGTCGGAGTTCCAGCTATTATTTCATCTCCCTTCCGGATCTGGTAAATAAAAAGAACATATGGAAAAGAGAACGGAAAATGTATTTTCGGTCAGATCCGATAAATTTCAAAAAAGAAATGAATTTCTTCTTAATATTATGAATCAGAAAAAAAAAAACACAAAATCAATTAAAGTGGAGAGGGAGTTAGTGCTGTATTCTGGGCCGGGTCCGGGCCTTCGTGGGCCAAACGGGCCGGGCTTGGCTGTCCCGGGCTTCGTGGGCTCAACGGGTGGAACCGGTCCGTGACGGGCCTAAGCCCACATGGTCCTGGGCTTAACGGGTCGGGCTCGTGGGCTTCGCGGGCCTAGCGGTTTTTATTTTTATTTTTAAGGCAATTTCTTGTAGTATCATGGGTATATTAAAAATATATATGTAGATCTAATTATTAAAGTGCTTGACGAAAAAGAAAAATAACAAAACAATAGTAAAACACTAAATTGTCATGCATAATA